ACCCATCGCACTCTTTTTATTCATCCATTACCCATTGAGCGTTGAATACCCTTGATTAATTCACATTTAATGCAATTATTCGTCATCAGTTCCTTCATTAAAATCCACATAAAAAAAAACTCTTTTTTTGTCGTTCTCTCCAAATTTCCACCGTTTTTTTTTTTTTTTGTACCCATTAGCCCTATCTTCATCATTTCCAATTCCTTCATTTCTAGCTCCTTTATCTAGGCCAATAATCGCTCTTCTTTTTTTGATATCTCGTTAGGACAGGGATTAGTACCCTTCCATTATTTATCTATTATCCCTGCTACCAAATTTACCCAATTCTCCGTTGTATAGATAGATAACACCACAAATCCTTTTTTTCTGACTTCTTACCAGAATAGGATATCATGCCTTTCCCTATATTTACCCATTATCCTTTTTACCAATCCCTCTAGCATCTCTGTGGATTCCCCCCAAATCTCTCTTTTATTGCAGATTTTGTGGAAGGATAAGGCATATCAATCTTCCTTCGTTAATAAATTCACCTCCCTTTCTAACTTCATTAGTGAATCCTCTCTCTATTCACCCATCATCCATCGTCTCTCCTACCATCTTTACCAATCTCCATTTCTAACCCCATTAATCGAATCCCACCCTTTCCTCCCCAGACTTCGTGGAGGGCCTGGACAACGAGAGCCGGCCGGGCGCCGAGGTCGTCCTCGAAGACGTGGGTGGCGTCTGCGGCCACGACTTCCTGTCGGCGAAGGACGACGAGCCACTCACCTGGTCGCTCTGGAACTCCTTCTTCTTCACCTTCACCGTCATCACCACCATAGGTGAGTGCGGCGCCTCGGTCGGGGGGGGGGGGGGGATTGGCTCTGGGGTTCGTGGTTAGATGAGGGACTGGTTCTGCGGTTCATATTGGGATAAGGGAACCGGTTCTGCGGTTCATGGTGAGATTGGCAAATTGATTGAGTGGTTCAGGCCGTCAAGATGAGATTGATTGGTTGGTTCAGCTTCATCGTTGTCATAACTACAAGTGAGTGTGGGCTTCCTCGGTTCATGGTGGGATTGGCGGATTGGCCATTTAGTTCAGGGTGAGATTAGTCATGTTGGGAGACTTTCTGTGGCGTTATGTTAGGGGAGGGTCTATGTAGCCTTGTGTTGAGATTGGTTGTGTGACGTCATGTCCAGATTGACTCAATATCACGCTAGGATTCGTTCTGTGACGTCACGCTGGAACTGATCTAGTGCCGCCACTGTTAATTTTGTCATTATCGGTCATTGGCGCGACGGGTAGGTCGAGAAGGAGAGGAAGAAAGTGAGGCTGCGACACACCGAGAGAGAGAGAGAGAGAAAGAGAAAGAGAAAGAGAAAGAGAAAGAGAAAGAGAAAGAGAGAGAGAGAGAGAGAGAGAGAGAGAGAGAGAGAGAGAGAGAGAGAGAGAGAAAGAGAAAGAGAGAGAGAGAAAGAGAGAGAGAGAGAGAGAGAGAGAGAATGACCGACTCACAGTATCGTATCCTTCACGCTTCATATGGTCCCAACAGAAGGAGTTTCTCATTTCCAAAACTTCCGTATCGTATACCAAGACATGCATATTAAAACGCGATACAATCAGCATTTACGTTCATTCATAAGTATACCTTTTACACACCTAATAGATGTGAAAGAATATGCTGTTGTATTTTTTCAAATCGTTGATTGCGAGAAAAAATCTAAAGAATGTCGTTTTCTGTACAAGAAGAAAGATACTGATAGAGATAACTAAAAAGATAGATAGTGACAGAGAGATGGACGTCCCCAACCACGCACTGTACTAAATGGCCTCTAGCGGAAACAAAAAATATATATAGTCACATTTCCTTCCTGACTGTAATTACGAACATAGAGAAACCGTGACTAGGTAGGCGGTCACTACATCGGTTGCCGGTTTACTAATTTCTGTAATCTCAATTTGTTTTCATTTCAGTTTGTCTCATTTCCTTATTTATTCATCGTCATGTATTTGTTAAAGTCTGATAGATGAATTATGTTAATATATATAGATTCTGGATAAATAAATGAAAGAATAAAAGGTAAACAACATCATATAAGTTACTAAACGAAGTAGCAATGAAGGTCAAGGAGAGAGAGAGAAAGAGGAAGTGGGGAACGCAGATAAGCCACACACAAAAAAAGAGGAAGAGGAGAGAGGAAGATGAAAAGCCTTGGGCGAGAAGACGCACATTTCCTTAACGTAATCTGAGTCTTGCGTAACCAAGGGGGGGGGGGAGCGTTCGTGCACATTAACCGTGAGTGAGATAAATTATGTTACCTATTTTATGGTTGTTATATTTTTCATTGTCAATCTTAATGTTGTTTGTTATCATCAATATAAGTATCATCATTTTCATTATTATTATCATTATTATTGATGATATTATTATCATCACTATTGATGTTAATGCAATCGTCATTATTGATGATATTATTACCATCACTATTGATATTAATATAATCATCATTATTGGTATTA